TAGAACGAAAAGAAATTTCAAATATTTTATTTGTATAAAAAATATTTACGTCAAAATCGAAATTTATTTATATTTACATAGGTATAAATGAATGTAATTAATTACTTTGTTTACAACAAAATTTTCTATTTATAAGAGGAACTTCATACAAATATTGTTTCAATATTAAAGTTTTGTACAAAATCTGTTCGATATGTACGCTTGAAAAGATTTTCGGACCTTCTAATGAGAACTAGTCTGTCAAAGATTTTTGTGTTCGTAAAATATCAATAAAAAATTTTAGAAACATAATTTCTGAAAGACCCGATAGCTCAATGAAATCTAAGGAGATTCTTCGATTAATTTTTCTTTTGCTTAAAAATAATGATCGATCATATATTTTACTTGCATCTTTTCACTTTTTCTTACTCTTTAAAATAATAATGTTATTAAAATTAATCCAAAAACAAATCAAATATTATGTTTCTTAAAGTGCATGAATACAGATGTTTAATTAGAAATAGGATATCATAAGTAAAGCCACAGTAATTGAATCTTTACAGAAGCAAATGCGGTTGCCTAGAGTGGACTGCCCTCTTATTTTGTGTCATAACATAATGGTTTATGGTTGATATAAACCCTACAAATAACTTATTTTTTTTACTTAGTTTTTGACAAGGAAAATAGTTTATATGGGTAGAGGATGTTGAGGACACGTGAAGATTAGTAAATAATTTATTCAAAGTATAGAAAAAAAATAACAGGATATTCGATTTAATAATAAAAGATATTAAACTTCATATAACGATTTTCTCAGACGTCACGCGATGATGTTTCGATCAGAGTATTGTTAACCTTTCTCAGCCAGTAGATTATGTAATAAATCAGACTTTCCCACGCCTTCTGAAAATGTAAGTTCGTTTGAATAAGTTATTTGTAAATAAAACGTTTTATAGTACTAGATTCAATAGAGAAAAGAACTCTTCAAACAGACTACTTATTTTGATGAAAAATCGATTTAATTAACATAAACGCAATGATAATAATTTCTATTAACAAGTGTTTTTCTATATATATATATAATTGTGCAATGACAAGATACTATGTTTATCTTCATGATTAAACTAAACAGATATTCTATATCTTTCCCGTACATTTGATATTCTACACTACAGAATGGACATACTGAATATAAAAACTGATAACTTTGAATTTTATTTTACATACAAAATTGTCATAATTTCTAGACTTATGCAAAATCGATTGTCTTATCGTATCCATCTTTGTTGTCGATAAAAAGAACATGTACGTTCACATTCATATCGAGAATTAAAACGATTTTGATTACCACCACAACCACCCCATATAAATATTTGACAAGAACTCGATTGAGGATTAAAATAATATTGTTCAATAATTGCTTTACATTGACCAATATCTGGCATTTGTTGACAAATAAACATATTATTTATTATTGGTGGTCTTGTTGTTGCATAAATGCCACCATTTCCTAGACAAATAGTAACATGTATTTATTATTGATAATTTAGATAAAAGATCATAGATATACAAACCAAAGCCTACTGATGCTCCAATGTTTTTCATCATAACATTAATCGGATTGATTGGTGCTGGTATTAATTGTACTGGAGTATATTGATCATTTATATAGAGTAATTGACCATCTTTTTCAATACGAGCTTGAATAGCATATTGTCGAATAGAATTACTATTTTGTTGAACTTGTATCATTGAATATGGAATTTCAAATGCAATAGGAAAACGATAAGATCCATATAAAACAAGTGTATTCAATGGTTGAGATGCTACATCTTGAAGAGAAACATCCGCAAGTGTTACGATTATTTGTGACCCAGAAGGTAGTACAGATGTATCATCATTAAGAAGACTTCCACGAACACTTGCTTGACCTAATAAAATTAATAAATACATTACATATATATATTAAATTAATTTGTTGTATACCTTGATTCCATAATGGATAAGATGACCATTGATTATAATTATTATAAGGATATTGTCTTTGTTGAGAATAATATTGTGCTTTAACAGATGACGATAGCAAAAGAAATACAATAATAATATAAAACATTCTTTTAGTATGTATAGAAGAAAATAATGTTAATGTAGAATACCAAATATTATCCTTTTTTTATTATCTTAATGCTGCCAATCCTTGTACAAATGTCATGATCTATTCTTTTATATTTTAATTTTATCAATCTTAATCGTAACAGAAAATGAAAGGAGATTAGCTTTTATATTACTCATATTGTATAGATGAAGATCGATACGTATAAATACCTATGTACGTGTAAGAAAGGTCATTAGATCATTAAGAGTGAATGTTAATACATGACTTTTTAAAAAACTATTGATGTCATCTAAGAACATCATGTAGGCGTTTTATTCTAATCCTATTTGATTGCATAAATAGGATAATATATTCTATCAAAAACAAAATTACATCAATTTCGCCTTTAATTTATAAAATATAAATATCAAATTAGAATAAACTAGATATCATTCAAGTATCTACCTTTTCTTTCTTTAAATATTTAGAGGATTGTTCAATAGTATTTATATGTATGTATATATGTATATATAATAGAAATATGCAA